CTGTGGGCGTCTGGGGGTGGAAGCTCTCCTGCAGCCCCCCAATTGCCCTCTCTCCCCAGATGGCAGCCTGCGGCAAGTGCAGCCGGGCTGATGGCCAAGTGCTGTGATGTGCCCAGTGTGGGCACTCAGGGCACTCCAAGCCAGGACTGCTTTGCAAGCGGGGCACCCCTGAGAACTGTCTGTCCGGGGTGGGGGTTGGGTCCCTTTAAGCACAGCCCTCGGCTGGCCTGAGGCAGCATCTCCACGCTCTAAGTCCTCATCTGAAGCTCTGCCGGCACTGCTTCTGGCCATCCTAAAACCCAGTTCAGGGTCCTCTTAATGTGGACATGCTAGTTCGAATTAGCAAAATGCTAATTCAAACTAGTTTTTTAGTCTGGATCCGTTAGTTCGAATTAGCTTAGTTCAAATTAACTAATTCGAACTAAGTTAGTTCGAATTAGCGCTGTAGTGTAGACATACCCAAAGTAGGGTGTTATTTCGAAATTAGATGCTGTGTAGACAGTATCTAATTTTGAAATAGCCTATTTTGAAATAAAGTCAAAATAAGTATGCCATTTGCACAGCGCAAATTGTGTACCTTAATTTAAGATAAGGGCACTGTGTAGACACAGCCCTGAGCTCAAGACAAAGAGCAACGGCCCTGTTCCTTGTTCAGCTTCCTCTTCTGAAATGCAGCCTGTCGGTCAGCCTCTGTCTGCCTGTCTGCCCTAAGCCTGGACATTCACTCACATGTGACTCTGAATACTGAAGCCACCTGCAGCAGGACTAAGCCATCCATTCATGCTGCAATAATCTGGACACGGTGAAATTGAACATCAGAAACTCCCCAGGGCAGGTATTTCTGTGGAGCCTGGGGGGGCCCAGCGCCAAGCACATTGAACGTCAGTGGAGCTGAGACTCAGGCCTGGTCTGCACTGGGGGTTTGGGTCGGACTGAGCCCCATGAGGTTGATTTTCCACCTGAAACTAAAGGGGTTGAGCCAGTCACAATAAAAGACAAAAGAGGCAAAGGGACGGGCTGGAGCAGCCCTGCCAACATGCTGCTTCTGTGAGCTGCCGCCTGGGACACTTGGGGGGACCCAACCAGCTTCCCCAGCCAGTCCCTGGATTCCTCCCACGACACTCGGGCAGCCTCGGGAAGCAGCTTGGAGCACAGCGAGGTGGGGGAGAGAAGAATGGGCAGCAGGCAAACGGGTCACCGAGAGCCAAGAACGTGTTACAACTTTAGAGACGTCTAAAGTCCCCCTTGGACGTCTCATCTCCAGGCGCTGATCCTGGGGAGGGCACTTCTGGTGGGTTTGTCTTGCTAAAAGGGAGTTAAGGCAATCGGGTGAGATCTGCTAGTGAATGTGTCTGGAGATGGAGCTGAACCGTCCCCGTGCATCCCCATGAAGCTCTCACAGAGGAACACTTTGCTCCTTCTCGCGAGGTTTCTGGGGAGGTTGCCTTATTCCACTCTCCATGGCAGGACACCTCCCCACACCAAGTCAGCATTTCTAACTCTGATTCTGATGTTCCGGTTACACCCTATTTCCCCCCTTTGAGTTTTACCTCTTACTCTGAACAGAAATGAAGCCAGGCAGACGAACGGCAACAAGATCACCAGGGTCACGTTCCAGCCCACCATCCAGGGAGAGGCTCTTGGGAAAAAGGAATCTGAAACACAAAGCCCCCCTAGTTTCCAAACAGGCAGCATTGGAGGAAACTGCTTCACACTAGACTCTGTGTGAAATACACGCGGGAAAATTGTTCCCTGCAATATAAAAACTGGCAGAAACCAAGTGGAAAACCAGCTTCTGCTCATCCACTTTTGCTAGTATCAATCAGGGTATTAAACACTATCACATGCTACCAGTCCCAGTCCCTCCTCCCCCATTGCTTTCTCTCATCACATCACCCTTATGACAGTTGCTAGGTACTTCCCCTGGCAGGGCCTTCTTGTCATTGGCTCACTAATTACATCTGGGCAGAAGGGTCCCTGTGGGGTGTCTGTCTCAGACAGGATATTTTGGAAAAGTGTCAGTCAGAATGGACCAACTCTTGCTGAGACAGGGCTGAGGGAGTAACACTTTGTTAGGGTGCGGGGGAAGGCTCATGGCTGGGATAAGGATTTGGGGTGCAGTGCACTAACCAGAGTCAGCTTTCTGGGGTGGGGTGGGAAGCAGATAGCCCAGGACAGGTCACACTGCCCTGTGCTTGCTGGTAGGCATCACCTCTTGCAGCTCCCATTGGCCAAGATTCCTGGCCAATGGGAGATGCGGGAACAGATCCTGCAGGCGAGGGCAGTGCAGGGACGGAGCTTCCTTTGACACATGTGGCGACATGGCTTCAGCCCAGTGGAGGGGAGGGCAGCCGGCAGAGCTACACGTCCCCTCCACCCCCCCACCACCAGTCAGGGTGAGGTAACACACAGAGGCTAAATGGCTCACAAAAACCCCTGCACTTTAGCTGGGCGGGAGATCTTTGGAAAGCCGCTCCCCTCCCCCCCCTCCCCAGAGCTCCCCCTGCTATCTGGTGTCCCTGCAGGGCACTTCCATGAGTTAATATATTTGGATTGCCTGGAAATGTAACGGTAACCCTGAATTTTCTGGGTTTAAAATGCTTGTTTCTGGGATCACTACAAAATCCCTGGAATACATTTTATCCAACATTGTGCCCTCCACCTTCACTTCATCTGAAATGTCGTTGTGAGGGGGTTTGCACACTGGTACTTTTGTATGATTTTGCAACCTGATTTTTAATTCTTGCTGGTATGAGAGTGGGGTTTTGGTAGTAACTGACCTGATATATAGAAAGTTATTGATTTCCTTTCTTCGTCCAGGTGTGTGTTCCTCATAGAACAGGACAAACTCTTGTGTGAATTTTCCATTATAACAATAGAATTTTTTGTTTTAAAGAAATCACCGTCCTCTTCAGACTTTGTTTCAGTGGATGCAGATAAAGGCTGCCCCTTGGGATCTCTCCAGAGCACCTGGGGCTGTGGGTACCATCCGGCCGACTGGCACACCACTCGGATCCCTCCGTCCTGGTGACCCTCGACAGAGATGTGAGGTGCGGAGCCTAGAGCTGGAATGAATCAGTGTGAAATGAAATGAGCCTACAACCGAGTGTATAAACGTCCACATTTCCAATAAAATGATTGAACGCACTTTACTGCTGATGTTCATCGAAAGAGGAAATTTGACTTAATGTAACTATCATGGCCCAGAGGCTGCAGCTGTACGAAAAGCTCCTGGTGGCCACATCTGAGAAATGCTGCTTTAAATACGCTTGAGTTGAGGAAACGTTCTCTCTTCAGCACAGACCAGATACCTGCTCTGAAGAGAACCGTGCTGGGAACAAAGTCATCCTGGGACCGGCAGAAGCCTGCTGTGGATTTTCAGAGTATGTTCATATAATGTTTTATAGCAGAGTAAGTAATGCTCAGGTATGAACAGTTGCAGAATGATCCCGAGTATGAAAAAGAAAAGATAAAGTAACAAAAAAGCGAGGAGAGGCCTGTTTGAAGTCAGGCTGGGGTATGAACAGTTGCAGAATGTTCCCGAGTATGAAAACGAAAAGATAAAGTAACAAAAAAGTGAGGAGAGGCCTGTTTGAAGTCAGGCTGGCCCTGTGCTGACAGGGAACGGGAGCTGACATGGACATGGGAGGCTAAAACATACATATAAAAAACAAAACGGTATAAATCAGTTTGTATCTGAAAGGGAGGTTGAAGCTGTGTTGTCCATTGCTGGATGTGACAGTGATGGATCACCCAGTGTTCTTCCCACTCGTGAGTGTTTGATCACTACTTGCTGAGTGTTTTGCCTTAAGAGTTGTTAGATCCAACTGCTGCTAAGTGCGTCTCAACCCAACAACATAGGACCATACACGGGGGGATGGGTGACGGGTGTGAACCCACCCCCCATGGTCCTTCATGGTTCACCATGGGGCTGATTGTGGCTGTCTTAGGGAATTGCCCCAGTCTCCCTTACCCCTGTTCCAGCTATCCAGGGAAGGACTGGGCCACAGAGGGTGGGAAGGGAAGTCAGCAGCTCCTCCCACAGATCACCCTCCCTCAGAAATTCCTGCGTATGGGCCTGCAAATGAACTGTGTAACTGAAAATGTCTTAGAAAATTCCTGCCTCTTTTTCCCTGTGGCCCAATGACTGTTCGATTGTTTATGAATATGTAAATAGCCATTGGGCCAGAGAGAGAGAGAGAGAGAGCATAGCGTGGGGCAGGGCCAGATTATCCATACAGCACAATAGGCCTAGTGCTTAGGGCCTACAAAAAATTTAAAGCCTAAAAAAATGAATAATTGACTTGAAAATAAGGAAAGAAAACTGCTGAATCCAACTTAATAATTTGCTCTCTTTAGTCAACAAACAACACATGGGTGTACCCCCGGAGAGAGAAAGCGTAGCGTGGGGCAGGGCCAGATTATTCATACAGCACAATAGGCCTAGTGCTTAGGGCCTACAAAAAATATAAAGCCTAAAAAAATGAATAATTGACTTGAAAATAAGGAAAGAAAACTGCTGAATCCAACTTAATAATTTGCTCTCTTTAGTCAACAAACAACACATGGGTGTACCATTAACTGTAGGCATGCAGGCGATCCAGCATTTCTGCCTTAGATATTTATATAGAATCTAATGTAAAGGCCTATGATTATGAGCGTGCCTAGGGGCTACAAAGATCTTAATCTGGCCCTGGTGCAGGGGATTGGGTACACCCGTGGGAGGTGGGAAAACTCATGTCCCACTGCTGTTTCAGTGGCTATTTAATTACTTAGCAGATTGATAAATAATTAATGATTAATTAGAATGGGAGATAGTCCTTGGGTATCCCACCTCTGGTGCTATAACCACGGGATTACAGAGTCTCCCCTTCTCTCTCTGGCATAAAGATGAACTAATTTAATGACTGTTTTGAGGACCTGAAGGGCACCTAAGTTTTGGACTGAGGTGTGGAGTTAGGTGTCTAACTACTTTTGTGGGTCTGAGTCCAAGAGGTTTCTAAAGAGAGACGACAGACCCGTGTTACTGACCTGCGACCTTCAGTTCCAGTACAGCTTCCTCCTGAAAGTCACCATCCTGAACAGAGCAGTGGTACTGTCCTTCGTCAGAGAGCCTGACATTGAGAATTCCCAAGTCAACGTTCCCATCTGTGATGCTGTCTTTCAAAAGTTCTGTCCGGCCGTGATACTCGGGCATCTGCTGCCCAAACTCATCCTTCCCGCGCCGGTACAGGTGCACGAAGGGAGTGAACTCATGTCGGAACCATCTCACCTCCATGTGCTCTGCGTTCATTCCGGGGGACAGGCTACAGGGTAACATGATGCCCTCCCCCACCTCGGCTGTGACAGGATGAGCTGGTCCATTCACTGAGAACTGGGCTGTGAAATGCACCAGGGGGTAGAAAAGACAAAACATAAACAAAAGGGGATTTAATGTAAAGTGAATCAGTTAGGTTATGTCTATACTACCCTCCTAGTTCGAACTAGGAGGGTAATGTAGGCATAAAGCACTTGCAAATGAAGCCCGGGATTTGAATTTCCCGGGCTTCATTTGAATAAGCGGGGAGCCGCCATTTTTAAAACCCCGCTGGTTCGAACCCCGTGCAGCGTGGCTACACGGGGCTCGAACTAGGTAGTTCGAATTAGGCTTCCTAGTTCGAACTACCGTTACTCCTCATTTCACGAGGAGTAACGGTAGTTGAAGCCCGGGAAATTCAAATCCCGGGCTTCATTTGCAAGTGCGGTATGCCTACATTACCCCGCTAGTTCGAACTAGCGGGTTAGTGTAGACATACCCTGAGTCACACGAGGTTCTAATTTGCATCTGGGGGCTGGCAGTGGGGTGTGTGAGTGCAGGAGTCAGGGTTGGGGAAGGTGAGGAGCGGCTGTGGGGGGGGGACTCTGTGTGTGTGTGTGTGTGTGTGTGTGATTGGGGGTGAGCAGGGAGGGCAAAGGACTGAACCTCCCTCCCCAGAGATTTGTACCAGGGTTGCTTCTCCTTCCCCCTCCTGTCCCTGCCAGGGAGCGATGCCAAAGTGCGTATCTCGTCTTCGCCCTGCGCTCCCCAGCCAGAGTGAGGGTATATCTACACTACAACGTTAATTCGAACTAACTTAGTTAACTAACTTAGTTCGAATTAGTTAATTAGAATTAAGCTAATTCGAACTAATGGATCCAGACTAAAAAACAAAATGCTAATTCGAACTAGCATGTCGACATTAAGTGGACCCTGAACCGAGGTTAAAGATGGCCGGAAGCAGTGCCGGCAGGGCATCAGAGGAGGACTTAGAGCATGAAGATGCTGTCTCAGGCTAGCCGAGGGATGTGCTTAAAGGGTCCCGACCCCCACCCCAGACAGACTGTTCTCAGGGGTTCCCCGCTTGCAAGGCAGTCCTGGCTTGGAGTCCCCTGACTGCCCACACTTGGCACATCACAGCACTCGGCCATCAGCCTGGCTGCACTTGCCGCAGGCTGCCATGCGGGGGGGTCAATCGGGGAGCTGCAAGACAGCTTCCACCCCGAGGAGCCCGCAGAGCCACCCCAGTCCTCCCTATCAGGGGCTTGTACCCCATTCCTCCCTCACCTCCTTCCACTTATCCCTCCCTAGTCCCCATTCCTGATGTACAAAATAAAGGACATGTGTGTTCAAAAATACAAACTCTCTTTATTGAACAAAACTGGGGGAGACTGGGAAAAGGAGGTGGGGAAGTATCAAACTATGGTACGCCATATCTTCAGTACTGTGTACAGATGTGATCTCCTCACCCCAGAAAAGATATTTTGGCCTTGGAAAAGGTTCAGAAAAGGGCAACTAAAATGATCAGGAGTTTGGAACAGGTCCCATATGAAGAGAGGCTAAAGAGACTGGGACTTTTCGGAGACTGAGGGGGGATATGATAGAGGTCTATAAAAGCATGAGTGGGGTGGAGAGGGTGCATAAAGAAAAGTTCTTCATTAGTTCCCATAATAGAAGGACTAGAGGACACCAAAGGAAA